CCTACTCACTTATTTACATTCTTGCAAACTAGTTGATACAAGCTCTTTAGTGTAATTAGAATTGAGAGCTTGCTTCATTATTTACATTCATCTAGTTGAGCTCTTTAGAGTAGCAAGATTGAGAGCTCTTAGTGGGTAATTACATAGCAAGTTTGTGTGCCTAAGTAATCATTACAACTAGTATTGTTGGATAGGTGGCTAGCAACCCTTGTAGAGCTAGAGCAAGTTTGCATTACGCTATTTGTCATACTAATCAAATTGCTCTAGTTGATTTGTAGATTTTTAAATAGGCTATTCATCCCCCCTCTAGCCATATTAGGACCTTTCATCTTCGCGATCCAGAGTGGCTCGCAGCCATGCAGGCGGAGTTCGACGCACTTCAGGCGAACGGTACCTGGACACTTGTGCCCCGCCCACCAAATGCGAATGTCATCAGTGGGAAGTGGCTTTTCAAGAACAAGCTCAACCCTAACGGCACGCTGGAGCGACGCAAGGCACGGTGGGTTGTGCATGGATTCTCTCAACGCCCTGGCCTGGACTTCCACCAGACATTCTCGGTGGTGGTTAAACCAGCAACCATCCGAACGGTGCTTCACCTTACAGCGACACGCCGATGGCCTATCAATCAACTGGATGTCAAGAACGCCTTCTTGCATGGCGATCTCGCCGAGCGCGTCTACTGTCACCAACCCGCCGGCTTCATCGACTCATCTCGGCCCGATCATGTCTGCCTGCTGATCAATTCCCTCTATGGACTCAAGCAGGCACCTAGGGCATGGTTTCAGCGACTCAGCACTCACCTTCGTGGCATGGGCTTCACTGCCACAAGCTCCGACAGCTCCCTGTTTGTCTACAGTCATGGCGCTCAAACAGCGTACCTTCTTGTCTACGTTGATGACATTATCCTCACTGCATCGACACCGTCCTTGCTACACGACGGCATCAACAAACTGCGCCAGGCCTTTGCCATCAAGGACCTTGGCGCCCTGCACTTCTTCCTCGGTGTTCAGGTGCGTCGTGATGATGATGGCTTCCTCCTCAACCAAGCTTAGTACACGGAGGACATACTCGAGCGAGCGGGGATGGCCAACTGCAAGCCAGCCTCCACTCCAGTGGAGGCCAAGCCAAAGCTGTCAGCAGCAGATGGAAAACCTGCAGAGGATGGCTCCTTCTATCGCGAACATCACCGCGGCGCTCATGTGTGTCTCACACTAACGCGACCCGAACATTGCGTATGCGATGAACCGAGCATGCTTACACACATGTAGGCTCCACATGATGTGCACTGGAACCTCGTCAAGCGTATCCTACGCTATCTCCACGGCACAATTCACCACAGCATCAGGATCTCCGCAACACCGTCGACTAAGCTCAAGGTGTACTCCAACGTGATGACCGGCTGGATGCTGGACACTCGGCGCTTCGACCTTAGGCTCGTGTCTTCCTCAGAACTCTCTCGGTGTCATGGTCGTCGAAGCGTAAACGACGGTATCCGGTCTAATGCGAGGCCGAGTATCGAAGTTGTGTAATAACGCCGTTGCAGCCAGTGATCTTTGTTGGCTCGAGAAATCTACTTCGCGAACTTCATGTGCGCATCGACAAGGCCATGGTAATCTATTGTGACAATGTCTCGATGGTTTACCGTCTCGAAAACCCATGCACCATCGACGAACGAAGCATGTGGAGCTTGACATCCATTTTGTGTGAGAGAAGGTTGCCCTTGGCGATTCAAAGTTCGCACATCCCGACTCAAAGACCGGTTTGCAGAGACATTATGACAAAAGGGCTACCTACAACTTTGTTCAATGAATTCGAGAGACAATTTATGCATACGGATGACCAATGCTTCAACCGAGGGGGGTGTCAATGACCTATTCCTCCGCATACTATAGATAAATAAGGATCATTTGGTTAGTTTGTTGTATAGGGTCATGGTCACGTTTGGGACTGATTCTTGGTGATCCGAGTCTTGAGTTAGTGATTAGTAGCCTACGGCCACGAGTGCTCTGGCACTTGTATATGTACTCATACACTGTCATGGAATACGATTGAGCATTCTCTCCCATTCTTGTCTCTTACACTAATAATGAGCGAGCACAATTTTGATCATCATTCCCCAACCAGGCACATATATACAACAATCAAAAGCGGCCCTCAACTTCCAAGTCTCCAAACAACATGACACCAAAAACCTACATCGAGCATATGCCAGAAGAGAGGAACATGAACTGCATGACATAGTTGTCAAGCTAGTAGGTTGACTTAACAAATGGCTTGAACTCTACAAAAAGCTCACCTCCCAAATCAAGCCAAGCCAATGCGAATAATGAAACCAATGGACGTCTGAGGTAAGCTAGAATGCCAACAACGCATTGTTGCACATAGAAGATCATCCAAAGCAGACTAAAGACATGATCAACATGAACTGCTTTTGCTACACGTTCAAAAAATGGAGCAAGTTTTTTACTCAAAAATGATATCAAGAAGTGGCAAATTGCCAATTATGATGTATCAAGGAAGAAAACACGACCAATGATGCCATCATCGTCGATGCTAAGCAATAGTCTAGCAAGGCTTTCATTAACAATTTTATCTATCTAGTGCCCCACAAATAGCCAACCCACTTGACCAACAACTATTGCCAGAACACCATATTGTTGCAGCAACATCGTTCCACCATTAACCAAGTTCCTCGAAGCTTTCCTGGCTTGATATGTAGAATAGAAGGAGGCCAACTTAGGTAAAGAGTGTCGATGAGAGGGGTATAAAGGCGAAGGGGATGCGCAAACGTCAACAAAAGCTGACCAACGAGGGAACTATATCATGACATCGAGACCATTACTCCACCCATGGGCTATAGCTGCATCAAGCACCGTTAGTATCATAATGCCTCCCAAATCAACACAAAAAAAGCCACATCATCACGTGCTTGGAGCCCTGCGTCTTCAACCACCCATATATTGTGGCTAGATACCTTTGAGATCCTGAGTTGACAGAGGCGCCGTTGATGGATCTAATATCGGTGGCCATGGAACCTGACCACCATATGTGATAATAACCATAGCTGTGGCCATTGGATCTCTACCACAAAGCCATACTCGAGGCTAAGAAAAATGTTGTCTTCACTAATGGAGAGAGGATCATGACACAGCGAGGCCTCACAGTTGTGCAAGTTTGTAGTAGACTTCTCCAACTAATCGAGAAGGAGAAAGGACATGGAGGATTTGCAACAGTAGGAGTTAGGGTGCCGTGTGAGTCATAAGTCATCCAAAAGGTCAGAAAGGTGGCGAGAAAGGGGCTTATTTCTTCAGCAGAAGAATGTATTAATGAAGTGGTGCATTATTGTCTTATTTTCTCTTTTATTCATTCTTGCTAACAATATGGATGGCACACACCATGTTTCATCACTAATTAAGGACATGATATGACATATTAAGGTCGTGCCATGGAGCTCTAGCGTTCATGTTCAGTTTGAGCATCCATGTCATGCTTGTGTTGTGGATTGTGGCTCCCTAGAGACTAGAGACCTAGTAAAACATGGAGAGGTAGTATTGTCTCCATCTAACCGAAGCCGCATGGAGTCACTGAGCTAGACACTGGGTGCAATACACACCCAAACACCACGACTGAATAGTCTACAACTAAGAGCACAGGCGAAAGCAGTTTTCCCATGAAAAGCAGTTAAATTAAACCATGCCAAACATGTAACTTTGAGTTGGGAGATTTAGGAGCCCAAGGTGTTCGCGCCTACATACATCGTAGTTGTTGGCTCAAGCTTAAGCCTGCATTGCTGAAGCCTTTAGAATCCTTGTGCTTGTGCTATATGTGGCTTGTAACGTGACGTACTATATCTTTTATAAAATATAAACTGTTTAGTTTTGTCATAAGTTATTTATTTGACCTTAATCAAGTTTATAAAAATATATTAACGTTTATAAGAACAAATAAATACAATACCAAGATATTTCATTGGATTTAATCAAGATACTTTTTGTATAAATTTGGTTATTTTTGTATAGATTGGTACATTTTAGCTTAGGAAAAAACTAAAACATCAACTCCTATGCAGGGTGTATGCCCATCTCCTTGTAATTTGCATGCAATGGCTTATGGCGCACCATAATCAAATTGATTTCTACCCATAGAACATCTCCTATGGATAAAATATCTTCTCTCAGTAAAACGATGATAAACTACAACCAATAACATCCAGGGATAATTTATTTATACTATCCGTCCTAGAATATGAGACATGATTTAACTTATTACAGTCTTCAAGATTTCACTTTAATCACTGTTTTTTCTTATTATATATAGTAATTCATTATATTAAAATTCTAATCATTAGAAAGTATTTCTAAACACAAGTCTAATGTAACCAATGCCGTATTATAAACTTTTTATGTAATTGAACTAATTACTAATCAAAGATGATAAAGTTTCACCGCGTTCGGCTGTTCCGGTCCCGGATTGTTTCAGCTTATTCTCCCTCATAGAACGCTATTTAATCATCCAAAATCAGCCGAGCTACAGTGCCCGAGTGTAACATCAGAGGCTAACAATCTAATTTCAAAATTTTGAAACCATCCAACGTTAGTTGCTCTTGAACTTTAAAAGACACCCACCCAGCTTTGCTTAATCACTACGTCAGCAGGACAAGTCAACATCCCACGATCCAAAAAGGCCAACCAAAAAAACACACGGCCTCCACTCCAGATCCAATCCACGCTACCTAGGAGACCCGTTAGCCCGTTTGCTACCTCTCCACCCTCCTCTCCACCTCGTCCCCCCCGCAGGCCCGCATTCGCAAATCTCCTCCCCTCTCCCCGCGCGGCGCGCCTGCACCTCCCGGTCCGGTGAGAGGCCACCGCCCGCGCGGCCGCGCTCCTCACACTCCCCCCCCGCTACGCAAGCCCTAGAAGCGCCGCCTCCACGGCTGCACCTCCGCCAGTCGCGCTCCTCGCGTCGCCGCTGCCTCCGTAGCCGTCGCGGGCGCCACCATGGTACGTGCACGTGCCTCTCTCTCGTCTTTCGCACCGAACCCCTCTTCCAGCTCCCACCTTGCTGCTTCGCCGCCGCGTACGCGAGATCGCGCCCGTTGGGCTGTGGCGCGGCGGCTCGCGAGGTAGCGAGATCCGCGGCGGGGCTGGTTGAAATCCGCGTGGATCTGGTGCTTTCCGGCGTTGTATACTGACGTGATTGCCTTTTTTCTCTGTCTGTGGTGTTGGTGGGCGGGCGACGGGCGTGCTCCGGCAGCCGCTCCGGTTGGATATCAAGGTAATCTCAACCCATCTTCCTCGGATCCGTTTGGTTTTCTGCTCCTCGTTTTGTCTTGGAGGTAAATGTTTTTGGGTCACGTCGCTGATGGTGGTTTTCTGTTTGCCTGGATCAGAGGAAGCTCGCGCAGAGGTCGGAGAGGGTGAAGTCCGTGGATCTGCATCCGACAGAGCCATGGTGAGTGGCTGGTTCTGTGTACCGAAACGCTATGTGAATTATGATTGCTTCGTCTGAACCATGGCTAATCACATTATGCTATGTTGCGGAATGCAGGATTTTGTCGAGTCTGTACTCGGGAAGCGTTTGTGTATGGAACTACCAGACTCAGGTAGGTGATTGCTCATGCTTCACAGTAGCTTATGTCTGCGATTTTCTACTAAGTTGGGCTGTTGGATGAACGTTTTACGCTATAATAATTAGCCATTACTTGCATGCATTGCATTCACTATAGAGATCAAGGCACATGCATTTTGGGTGTACACAATAGTGAACTTAGTGATATGCCAGCAATGGAGTAAGGGAAATACTAGTGGTTACATAAAACCAATAGGAACGATTTGGATTTAATTGCATTTGCAAAAAGCGTAATGGTTAGGGCAAAAGTTACAAGCACCTCCCTGACAGATGCTGAGATGGATGGGTTTTAGTTGCATGTGCTGAATTTATAGGCAGCTTGTAAATGGTTGACAGACTAGTGGACATAGATAGGGAATGGAATAGAGCAGACACAGAATTAAACCCCAGTACTGGAAGGAAGAGCAGACACAGAATTAAACCCCAGTACTGGAAGGAAGAAAAAGGAATGGAATAGAACAAACACAGAATTAAACCCCAGTACTGGAAGGAAGAAAAGCGAAACACGCACACCTTGTGAATCATGATCTCTCGTTACTTTTAAAGTCCAGAAATATTACCTGGTTGGTTTGGTCATAAACTTTAACTGATGGCATTTTATCAACTCATCCCCAGACAATGGTGAAATCATTTGAAGTCACGGATTTACCAGGTATGCTCACCCAACTTTCTGCTTGCTTCTTTTCCTTGAGGTTTGCAATTTTACATCATGCTAATATTCCATAACAATTTCAGTTCGTTCGGCTAAATTTATTGCACGTAAGCAATGGGTTGTTGCTGGTGCCGACGATATGTTCATCCGTGTGTACAACTATAACACAATGGACAAGGTCAAGGTTTTTGAAGCTCACACTGACTACATTAGGTGTGTGGCTGTTCATCCAACCCAGCCCTTTGTGTTATCATCGTCCGATGACATGCTGATTAAGCTGTGGGATTGGGATAAAGGCTGGGCGTGTACTCAAATATTCGAAGGGCATTCTCACTATGTGATGCAAGTTACATTTAACCCAAAAGATACCAACACCTTTGCCAGTGCTTCCCTGGATCGCACAATAAAGGTTTGTGTTATCTCCGCTTTAAAAGTTCTGGTTGGCCACAATGTTGTATCATTTGCTGCCATTAGTTTTTTCATAGCTTTATGGTGGTATCCTAATTTTTGTCAATATCAGATATGGAGTCTTGGTTCCCCTGACCCAAATTTCACACTAGATGGCCATTCAAAAGGTGTGAACTGTGTTGATTACTTCACTGGTGGTGATCGACCATACTTAATTACTGGCTCTGATGATCAGACTGCAAAGGTTTGTCATATGCACTGAATTGTACTCCTGTGATCATGTATTGTACACTGATGACATTATTGGTCAAAATCAGGTTTGGGACTACCAAACAAAGAGTTGCGTTCAAACACTTGAAGGACATGCACATAATGTGTCTGCTGTATGTTTCCATCCAGAGATACCTATAATAATTACTGGTTCAGAGGATGGGACAGTTCGAATGTGGCATTCTACTACCTACAGGTATTGCTACTCATTTATTTAGCATCCCTGCCATGCATGTCACTTGCTTATATATGTATATGCAAGTGTGCTTCCATTTTGAGGCTAAATCTGGTAGCCACTAAAGTTCATCAGCAGTTTCTGCGATAGCCTCTTTTGCTATTTGATTCGAGGTTTACCTTGGTTGCGACAATTTGAGTTTAAATGTTCAATTGTTGGTTACAGTAGCAGGAGATTTTTTAGATTAAGTGCACATGACTTCCCCAAAAAAGTTTGGTGACAGGGTTACAGTAGCAGGAGGTTTAACTTGCACTGTTTGTTTTGTATTACAAGTTACGGCATACAGTAAAAATCAGTCACGTACAGAGAAAACACCGCAACTAAGGGGCGAATGAGATACATGATTGGTTCTAACCCTATACTGATTGGTATCAGAGCTGGCACTAATCGTTGAGCATTAAACCATCATGACACACATGGCTAGAATAGCCTATGTCCATAAGCTGTTGAAATGATTAGCTCCTTTAACAATGAAGTGATGAGAAAAGGGGGTTCTTGGAGTTATGCTTTCTCCTGCTGTATTGAGAAGAGTTTTTTTTTTTCATTTTCTCATATAAAATTATGGAACTACTTTTCGATGCCAGAACTCAGGATATATGAAAACCTGCTGTTTTGTACTCATGATTTAGAATAGTATCACAATATTTTCCCATGCAACTAATACTTTTTTTTGGTTATTGAACAAGGGACTAATGATTTTCTTGATGGTTTTACAGGCTTGAGAACACTCTTAACTATGGCCTTGAGCGAGTTTGGGCTTTAGGATATATGAAAGGGTCAAGAAGGTAGTCTCTCTCTCTCTCTCTCTCTCCATATTGAAGTGTCTGAAACCAAATGCCATTTCTTGTAATCTGCTATCAAGGGCTACACAGACCCACAGCTCAGTCATACTGCATACATTGTGTTTTCCACATTTCCTCAACTGTCTTATGGAAGTACCATACCTTTTTTCATATCCCATTTTCATACATTGTGACAGTAAAATTGTTTATTTGCCTAACTATTTGTTAAAGAATTGCTCTCACTGAAACATGCTGTGTGAGATGTTCATTGACTTGTTCTTTCCTGCATAAGTCAAGTTAATGATATGGAATATCTTATTTTGTGTAGGGTCGTGATTGGATACGATGAAGGGACAATAATGATAAAAATTGGTCGTGAAGTTCCTGTTGCTAGCATGGATAGCAGTGGGAAAATTATATGGGCAAAGCATAATGAAATCCAAACTGTTAATATCAAGAGTGTTGGTGCAGACAATGAGGTTGCCTTTGTTCACCATGCTATTGCGATGTAAACTTAGTAAGCTTGTTATAAGGTTTCTCTGTGGTCCTTAACTGTTTCATTTTTTAGATCGCAGATGGTGATCGGTTACCATTGGCTGTGAAGGAGTTGGGAAGCTGCGATCTTTATCCACAAGTAAGTTTACCTGTGATAAAATGGATGCTTCAATTGTGATCTTCATCACAAGTCAACTAAATGCTTGAAACTTAGTTCTATTTTTCTTTTTAATGTCCAAGAAACATAGACATGGCGCCATGATAATACATTCATCATGTATTTTTGGAAATGCATCCGGATATTGTGTTTATTTAGCTGCATTTTTTCAGTATAATAGCGTTAAACTCAAATACCAAAATGAAATGCTTCATGGTCAGTGATAACTCATTTGTGCAAATAAAGTTCTCTGTAACTTGGTGGGACCATAAAAATGCCTCTGGCAGTTTATGGCTAGGGGGTAACGGTTCATTCTTTTGAACAACATTGAATGTTTGAACTATCATGATTTTTTTAAAACTTGTTTTGTGGTCATGCATATTTTATTTGTGCTGGTTTACGCTAATAATATACTGGTGCAATATTTGTTTCAGAGCTTAAGGCACAATCCGAATGGGAGATTTGTTGTTGTATGTGGAGATGGAGAATACATAATATACACAGCATTAGCATGGAGAAACAGATCATTTGGGTCTGCACTTGAAGTTGTTTGGTCAACTGATGGAGAATATGCCGTCAGAGAAAGCACCTCGAGGATAAAGATATACAGTAAAAATTTCCAGGTTTGTTTCAGTATAACATATTTCACTTCTTCCTGGCACACTGTTTTGTTTAGTTATATCTATACCACCGTAGGCCTGTCTCTAACAAACATCCGTAGGGTACCTGTTCCTGGTAACATGCTTAACATGCCATAAAAGATAATCTCGAAGTGTCTGGTCAATTGGCCCTCATATCCAATTTGTGGCCTCAATATTTTCTATGATGAATTATAGACGCTATGAAATAAACTGTACTGTAGTTTGTGTTGTCTTCTTTTGTTATTTTACTCTCCAAACTAAATTGTTAAGTGAATTGCAACCAGCATACTGCATACTATACTCCGTATGTCATTCTCTTTTGTTATGGGTTCCTGGAACATAGTCTGTTAACTGGAGTTGGTCTTTTCAGGAGAAGAAAAGTATAAGGCCATCATTTTCTGCTGAACGGATATTTGGTGGAGTGTTACTTGCTATGTGTACAAATGACTTCATTTGCTTCTATGATTGGGCAGAATGCAGATTGATACGTCGAATTGATGTCAATGTGAAGGTAACGGAATTTGCTGCCTTATTATTTCAAACCTGTTTTTGCATTCATGCCATTTTAAATGTTGTGCCACTGAAAACATGTTTCTTTGTGTAGAATCTTTACTGGGCCGACAGTGGTGATTTAGTAACAATTGCAAGTGATACATCATTCTACATTTTGAAATATAATGTGAGTTCTGTCATTACCTTAATTGCCTATGTTCAGTCGACCTTTCTGCTACGATCCACTGATTTGTGTCTTTTTATGTCAAATTATTAAGAAGCAATTATTTTTCTGGTCAAATGGAAATGTACTAATATAAAAGTTTCCTTTTACCTTGTAGAGGGATGTAGTTTCATCTCATTTGGATGGAGGGGGTTCAGCTGGTGAGGAAGGTGTGGAAGATGCCTTTGAACTGCTTCATGAGATCAATGAACGTGTCCGCACTGGGCTATGGGTTGGCGATTGTTTCATCTACAATAATTCTTCATGGCGGCTTAATTACTGTGTAGGAGGAGAGGTGAGTTTTTTTCGTCACTTACAAAGACATCCTATGTATCTTTTGAGTTAGATCAATTATTGATAGAGCGCTTTCATGCCATAACCATTTCATGTGTTACAGGTCACAACCTTGTTTCACTTGGATCGGCCAATGTATTTACTAGGATATCTTGCAAACCAAAGCCGTGTCTATCTTATTGATAAGCAATTTAAGTGAGTTCATCTTTGTTATCTAAATTTCACATGTAGTTTTTGTACACAAGTTTTGTGGCTAATGTACTTTTTTATTGCAGTGTTGTGGGGTATACTTTACTCCTTAGTTTGATCGAGTATAAAACACTTGTAATGCGTGGGGATTTTGATCGCGCGAATGATGTTTTACCATCTATACCAAAGGAACAATATGACAGGTGCTCAATGTCATGGTAATTATTGTAGTGTAAGTCAGGTTTAGCATAGAAACATAACATTTCGTTTTGCAGTGTGGCACGTTTCTTGGAATCACGTGGAATGTTGGAGGAAGCCCTCGAGATAGCAACTGACACTAATTACAGATTTGACCTGGCTGTGCAGCTTGGTCGACTTGAAATTGCGAAGGCATAATCGATTTCTTTTCTTCTCCACATTTTTGAGAAAGTATTTCTTTTTCGAAATTTTCTAATAATAGTTGCTTTGCAGGCGATTGCTACCGAGGTGCAAAGTGAGTCCAAGTGGAAGCAATTAGGGGAGTTAGCTATGTCAAATGGAAAGGTACAGCTACCGGGTGTATCGTTTATCTTGCATGCGTAATGCCACAATCTATGTTGTCCTTATACAGTGTGGTTCAGCCATAGTGTTTTCTTAATTATTACTTCTCTGGTCGCAAATAAGGGTCATTTTATGTTGTGTGAATTTGATAGGCTTAAACTTTGACCATCAATGTCTCTAAGAATACTTCGATTGAACTTTTGTAAACTCGCTATATTTTGCACAGGTTTAGATTCACTAAGAATAACCTTTGAACATTTTGTGTTGAGTGCATTCATCAGTTTCATTGCTAGATTTGTCTTCAAAAGTAGTTTCAACATGTCAATTCACTATATTTTGCATGCATTTTGGACTAGTAATTAGTGGTCGAAGACTTAAAAGTAGTTTCTTGGTGACCATGTCACTGTCTAAAACATTAGTTATTTGTGACTGGGTCAAACAATAGCTATTATGAAGCAGAAAATTATCTATGATAATACGAGGGTACTTATAAAGAGAGAGGTTATACTAAAAGTTTGATGGTAAGGGGATGCTTATTGCTCTTTCCTTAGATTTAACAAATAGTGTTCCATGTAAAACTATGATGCAATCATGTACACATTTAAGTTGAAGTCGCAATACAATTTTCTGCAGCTTGAGATGGCAGAGGAGTGTCTTCTACATGCTATGGACCTCAGTGGTTTGTTGCTTTTGTATTCTTCCCTTGGGGATGCTGAGGGCATTAACAAATTGGCATCTGTAGCCAAAGAACAAGGAAAGATCAATGTTTCTTTCCTTTGTTTCTTCATGCTAGGAAAGCTGGAAGAGTGTCTTCAATTGCTAATAGAAAGGTAGAGGCATCTGGGCAAGATTGTCATGCTTAACCTTAATTCTTTTGTTTCTTATTTTTGACTCGTCTACTATCCCTTGTACAGTAATCGTATTCCGGAAGCAGCATTGATGGCAAGATCTTATCTTCCTAGCAAAGTCCCTGAGATTGTAGCATTGTGGAAAAAGGATCTCCAGAAGGTCTCCTGTCCTATGAGTCTCCTTTGCTTCCGTTCTACTCAGTTTTATGCTAAATCTTTCTGCATATCTTAATTAGGTTAACTTGGTCTTAGCGCGCGTATCTCAGGATAAATTGTCACCGTCTTAAGTTACAAACTCAAGCATGGTATTATTATTTTAGCATAACCCTGGTACAGTCCACTGCTGGAATTGATTCTGAATTTACTTGTAAAGGATGCTTTCAATTTCGTCCAGCACAATTTACCTAAGGGGCCGTTTGGATCCTTTCATTTTGGAGGAATTGGAATCTACTTAGGCCCCATTCGTTTCCTGGGGAATGATCCCGGAAGAATTCCGGCCCAGAACCATTCATTAATTTATATAAGATTTTCACGTCCGGAATGCTTCCTCCCGTCATATCGGCTAACCGAACGGAGCCTTAATGGATTAGGCTATTTGGCTTGGAATTTGACATTCCACAACTTTCCCAAATTCACATATAAGCCTATCTCAAATTCATAGGGTGGGAGATGGAAATTGATTCCATAGATCACCATGCTATATTTACTCTCCAACTGATAGCATGCTCTTGAACTCGCTTCCCTATAGTAGAAATGCAACATATAAGTATTTCCCTTATATGACTAACAATAATATACAAATATATCCCATATAGAACCATGTTAGCTTAATTAATTTGTACCTAAATTATAATTATTAGAATGAATTTAATTCCAAGGATCCAAACGGGCCCTAATGATTTTAGTACACTAAATTCAGGGTGGTTGTGTATTATTGATTGAGGATTAAAAAAATTAGCTAAAATCATGTGATATTTGTTTTGTCTCAAGTTTAGACTTGGGCATCACTGTCTTCAAATTGCAGGTCTAAGTTTATGAAACGTGCACTGTTTTGTTCCATTTGCTTTTTTAGGTAAACCCAAAAGCAGCAGAGTCGCTTGCTGATCCTAATGAGTACCCAAACTTATTTGAAGACTGGCAGATTGCTCTCAATGTAGAAGCTGCTGTTGCCCCGAAAAGGTTTTTGTTCTTTTTTATCTTCATATGTAACTGTATCCTTTTGTATTGTCTCCGATTACCTCTTGCATCAGATGAGGGTGCTTTAATTGCGCTCATCTGTTGAAAATCGGAAGTGATGTCAATACTCATATATTTTTCCAAGCTAATCTTTTACTGACACACACAAAAAAAATCGTTTGAACAGGGGTATCTATCCACCGGCCAAGGAGTACATGATTCATGCTGAAAGGTCAAATGAGAGTTTAGTGGAAGCTTTTAAAAATATGCATGTACATGAAGAGATGGTACCAGATGATAATGAAGATACTGTTCATGAGGTACTATTGTCTAGTATGATTGATTCCTCGCAAAAAAGAAAAAAAAAGATTTGGTGGTTATCTGATGTTAGTTGCATCGTATTTACTATGTGAAATATCCTAATTTTGATCTTGACAATATGGTAATCTGTACTCCCTCTGTTTCAAATTGTAGGTCACTTCAGTTTTGTCCTAAGTCAAACATCCCTCACTTGGACCAAATTTTTAGAAAACTATGTTAACATCTACAAAACTAATTTGATATTGTGTTGGTGCTTTTCCTAAAACTTGGTCAAAGTTAGAAAAGTTTTACTTGGAACAAGGCTAAAGTGATTTCTAATTTGGAATGGAGGGAGTAGTGTGGATATTATAGTTTAACTAAATTGGCTTGTTTAGGAACATGCTGGTAGTTTAATTTCTTTGCTTATGAGTATGATGATCTGCACTGTTTCATTTCGTACCTTAAAACTAATAGAAATATGTTTTGAGTATAACGATCAGAACCTCTGAGCTGCTATAAATGGTACAGGAATGTCTCTTGTTAGTTTCTAGTTTGTTGACCTATTATCTAAATTGAGTTCAGTAGGGTTAGTTGTGTGCACTTCCAAAGTTCCGTGCTTCTGTTCAAGCTTCATACTGTTACCATTTTCCATTTTCTTTCATGATTTTTGTTATTTTTGCTACATCTGCTTGCTTATATATACTCCCTCCGTTCCAAATTATAAGTCGCTTTGACTTTTTTGGTACATTCATTTAGCTATGCATCTAGATAAATAATATGTCTAGATACGTAGCAAAATGGATGAACCAAAAAAGTCGAAGCAACTTATAATTTGGAACAGAGGGAGTATGTATGTATTGCTTCCCATTCACTGTTCTTGCAGAACTGATAACATTGATCGTTGTTGAACAGGTTATTGAGGATGGTGGAGTAGAAGAGAGTCAAGAAGATGCTGTTGAGGTTGATGCAGAGGATGACGGAGTAGAAGAAAGTCAAGATGAAGCTGTTGAGGTTGAGGCTGAGGGTTCAACTGATGGTGCTGTCCTTGTGAATGGAAACAGTAGCGAGGAACAGTGGGGTATGAAAAATGAAGAACCATCAGCATAAAAGCTGTAGTTGAGCAAGTGTACAGTCCTAAATACCTTATTTTTCTTGGCCTTACCTCCCAGTGCACGATATTAGGAAGCTCCTGCTGGGTGATCTATTCTGGATATATCCTTAAGTTGCCCTTATCTTTAGCAGTATGGCAGTTCAGGGAGTTTTGATCAACCTAGGATTCATTAAATTTATTACAAGCTTGGTCAAACGCTTTTTAAAAGTATCCCTTAGAATGTTTTGCTTAAAACATTCCTGTTTCTGTTACTGATGCCTGCTTTCTTGCTACCGTTCCCTTGTTTTGTTATGGATTTCTACCAGTTTTTTTTATGTACACGATTTCACTAGAATGCTTCTAATGGTTGTCTTTTCTTTGCAGTGCTGACTCCTGAGCAATAGTGGATCAATGGGACAGCAACTTTGCTTCACTGGTTTAGTTTGTAAAGGTCAAATGCTATTCCAAGTATACAATTACTCATGTACCATAGAACCTTTTCAGTCATGTTAAAGCTATAATACAAGTAGCCAATCCTATTGCAGGTTGCTGACTGCTATCTAGAGTACATGCAAGCCATTTTTCTTGAGCGGTATTAAGCATGGGATGTGCTCTAGGATTGGCTTATCCAAATACGAAGTTGGACCGCAATTAATCAACACTTCATCTTTGTGCCCTATAGGAAATTTTGTGCTTCCTTTTTACATGTAGATCAGGTCTTTAGGTCTCGAAGACATTTTATAGCCTATCATCAGAGGTACTCTTGTTTCACCGAGATGGGATATGATTGGTGATCGGAGGAGTGATATTTTTACAGGGTACATAGAGTAGTAGCTTGTCGAACTGAGAATGTTTTACCTGTGACTGTGATGTACATCGGACTTGGGAGCTTTGTATCATTGTGTTACACTTCTTCAATGGTAGCGAATAATAAGTTTACAGCAGATGTTTTCAATAGCGTGTTTAGTTAATTGTGAGCAATTTGTCTTTGTTGTTGTGATGGCTAGGCTACTTCTATATCTGACTCCGTTGAGCAGCTATCTGGCCGGAGTGTCCGTGACAGCAAAGTTGGACATAGCTCTACTTCTAGGAATTAGGCCAAATCGGGCTATTAAACTGGGCTCATGTTTAAGCACCATGATTTGAACATTGAGGGAGATATGCCGCGATCAGTTGCGCGATTGGGGAATCGTCCTCCCCAGAACCCTAACCCTTCCCTCCAACAGGCCGAAACCCTAACCCTTCCATCACGCAATAGAGTTTGCGTTTGAACATATCCTGAGTTGCATTACTTTCCACAAGAAAAGGAATCCTTACAAAAGATAACACAAAATTAAGTGATACTAAGATAGCAAGTAAAAGAAACCACAAAATTGATTGATCACGATTATACATCTGATCTAGTATACAATACTTATCATCCACGTTAAATTGAATAGCCAACTGCACTAGAAACGACTTGTACTAAACAAGAGATGATACGTCCGAGACAACGAAGGAAGACAAAATATACATACTATGCAATTCAAGCAGAACGCCAGACACAATATACAAGGAATGAGGCTGAAAGCAGCTTAGGCCCACTAAAACAGGGTTACATTCGATCATTAAGCCTTTGGAAACAAGTTATACAACAGATTACGGCCGACAAAATACACCACCTGGTTGTATGAAACACATTCTCTCGAGGGCTTCGATGCTGTCTGTCCCGCTGAGTGCTGCAGACCCTTAGTCTAGAGATGAAAGAGCAGGTATTTCCACACTTCCTTTAGCCAAATGGATTACTACCCCCAACGGAGCCATAGGAAGGTGGGGTGTTTGGCTGGGGGTATCTGAGAGGAGCTTGCTGATCAAAACCCATGTTGAAGGAACCCAAACCTTGTTGCCTGTGATGTCACACGTCAGACATCAGTGTTGCAGGAAATATAGTACAGGTGTCTCGGACAGGGTGATGTTCTATACCATCCTAAGCCACCAAATTGTTAGAGCATAAAGGCCATTAAAATCCCAAATTCGCCATTACCAGTGACTCAGTGAGCAAAAACGTCTTGTAGATACTTTTAAGATGTATCAGATGAGTAGATGACACAATTCAGTGAGTGCAGCTTAGGTTGCTGCATTTTTTTTTTTGAAGATGCAAACCAAGGAACTTCCATGCCACTAGAATAGAAGGTGAATTTTCTTCCACAACGGACGAACCAAATTTCATTACTCAAGAGCAACGAAATTACAAAACTTTGTGAAATTTAAAACGTTCAAACCCCCAGAACAACTACTGCTGTCCTCACTGAACGCCCAGGGTTCAGAACTTCAGATGAGATGGCCACTGACGAAACAAAAGACCCAAGCAAACTACAAGTTTAGACAAAACGACTCTACAAAAAGCAAAAAGGTACAGCCCGACACCCACATTCATCTCCTCTTATTACAAGCCAGATGAGGCTGTCACAACACCAGGGCTGAGGAAAACAATTTTTTTAATAGTATAGAAGATGAATTGACCAGTAATTTAAGTTTAGATAATACAATCGTGAAATATGTCTACTTTGCGTAGTCAATCTCAGCTACTTAAATCTGTGATCCCTGGCAGGTCAAGTTTTTTTAATTATTTACTTAAATCCGTGATCCAACAGCCTGACAGTTCTTATAATTTAAGTAAGGCCCCTTCTTCATGGATGTCATACAAGGGATGTGATATATATTAAAAATAATTAGACAGCTCATTTAAATAGTCTACCACTACATGTTTCAACTTTGGAAGAAATAGTAAATACAACATATACTCACGTTGCAAGCATGCTATTAGGTTGTTGCTCGGGCATGGGCATGCTGTTCGGAACTTGCTGCATCATGAAATGGCCTGATTGAAGCAAAAATTAGCACAGTGCGCAAAAAGGAGGTACTACAGAGCAAGATTATGATGGGGAAATATGCAATTACTTGGATGTGCAGCTGACTGATAGAGCTGGTGAGGCTGCTGTGGAGGAACACCAAAACTAGAGTTGCCAATTAAGGTTTGGGGAGCTGGGCCTGATGATGCTCCTGGTGGCCCAGATGGGGGCTGCTCACAGATAAAACATGATGTTAATCGAAAAGTAATGAGCATGTTAACAAAATAGGAATGCAAAATACGCATGACGACCCAAGTCTAGTAGACATTTTAGTTATACCATGTGAGCTTGAATTGGAGCTGACTCATTCCCAAGATCAAAAGGGTTCGAAGCTTTCACAGGCTGGGGGTGGGAATATGCATGTTGCGAATACACAGGTTGCTGATATGTAGGCTGAGGAAATGCTCCATGAGGATATGCTTGCATTCCCTGGAACTGCAAGAGCATTCCTTATGTAAGATAAAAAGACAGTACCAACTCAGGTGCAGAATATGTTACTGCGTGATGCGAATGACATGGGTACCACTCCAGGTGGATATTGCATGGCGTGATCCCATTCCAAATTGGGGAGCTCTCTGCCAACCAGGCATCATTGGAGTTGATGGTGGATATAGTGCAGTGAAGATATCCTGCAATAAGTTTTGTCCGTGTCAAATATGCTCATGCAAATGACTTCGTTGGAAGGCATAGTGTCAGATCCATCAGCTCATCATTTTTTCCCAAAACATTATTCAAAGAATCAAAGAGAAGAAACTTGTACATTTGTCTTCAATTGACAATAGGTAATGATCTTGCAAATGAACACCCGTGAGAACACAGATGCACTGACAAGTACGGAAACCTTAACAACATTTATGGTACCTCATAAGTTTACAGAAACCAAAGGCTCAAAACAAATGAGGTTTGAACAAATTGTTTTCAATCTAGTAACTAGTTCATTCCCATATAATTAGTCAGCCAAACAAGATAATGTGTTCAAACACATTAAAGCAAAACCACGAATCTAAGGAGAAACTACACTTATTGCTGAGCATTATACATCTGTATGGTGGCTACCCAATTGAATTGGAATCCAATGTAGACCATGATTTCACTTAACTACCTCGTAACATATAGTGCTTGTCAAATAAAACTCCATTAAGTGACATTACATTCAATCAAGAAATTGCTCATTAATGTTAGAAGACGCAAAATACACAGCTAATCATGTATGACGTACTGCTGGAAGTTCTTTCCTGCCACTGAATTTACTGTCAGTAGAAGAGGATGCTCCTTGAATACCACTGGTTCCTTGTGGATTTGCAGTAGCTTGAGATGGAAGTCCAGCCGTAGGGGCAGCTAGAGGAGATTGTTGAACCGATGATCCTTGGCCCGACATTACTGTTGAGGCCTGGGGAAGGAATCCAGTGAAAACTTTTTTTTCGGAAAAAAGGGCTCAAGTGCATAAAGCTTAAAATTTATGCAAATGCAACTACCTGGTTGCCTGAGATTCCAAAGGGCGCATCAAACAAGGAATGTGAATGGTCTAGCACAGATGAATGTCCTCCATTTGCTTTCAAAGTGGGATCAAGAGAAGCAGGATAAGCTGACACATTTGGTGCAGAGGGTGCTTCAGAGAATGACAGCTGTGCAAGTGCAGACTCAAGGGGATTTACACTGCTGCTTGTTTGTGGTGTTTGTTGTTGGCCAAAAGCATCAAAAGATGCCCAGTCACCACCACTGACAGAAGGAGCACTTTTCCCTTGTTCAAGAACAGGCTGTGGTGCTGCTGCATTAACTGGAGGCCGATGGGGCATAGGGGTCGGCTGTGGTGGTGCTGCGGATGCAGGTTCAGGATCTGCACTAAAATCAATTAAACTCACTGCAGTTGCCACCTTTGTCTGTTCCGATGTCCCTTCTGAAGAACCAATGCTGCTGGCACTAGATATTGTCTACATTATGAACATGCAAGAGGAATAGTAAGCGAACAGATGCACAAGAATATGTTGATATTTCGAGAGTACAAAAGCAATGTCTAAAAGAAGGGAAATGTTAGGAGTAACAAAGAACAACCTTTGTCAGTGGTGGAGGATCAATTGCCCTGGTTCCATTTGGCTTTGGAGGATCAATTGGTCTGACTACACTTGGCTTTGGAGGATCAAGTGGTCTGACTACAGTTGGCTTTGGAGGTTCAGTAGCTGGCTTTGAAGGCTCACCAACCCGAAGTTGAGGAGCGTTGTCACCCAATATATCCCTCACTGGCCGTACAACAGGACTAGAACCATCAGCTTCTTTCTGGAAGTCTGGAGACCCACTATCTGGCTTTCTGGTCTCTGAAAACCTCCGGTCTTCAAACCTTTGAACTGGAGTTGTTTTTCCAGATCTATCATCGACAACCTCAAAGTAGCGAGGACTTTTCTTATAGTCATTTTGGTCATAGCCAGGACTACGGTCCCCATAGGAATATCTGGAATTTCTGTCATCACTCCGTCCACTATAACTCCGACGATCAGAGTAACTTCCATTTGGTGGACTTCTTGAACCACCCCAATTTCCATCAGACCTCCTATTTTCACTATACTCATCCTTGTCATCCTGCAAGATGACAATCAATCAGCAAATAGTGAATTTCAAAGAGAATAATATATTTCCAAAAATAGGGATTGGTTACTGAGGAGATATTTTTAAAGCAGTAAGGATACAACATCACCTTTGCCCTTGGTGGCCTATCAGTACTTCTTTCTCCAGTGTATCTCCGTTCCACATACACATGCTTAATGAAATTTCTCAATTTGTCAGCATTACTGAGACCAAAAGAAACATGTCATACTTCCCAAACGGAATTAAGCATTGTGACTTACAAAAAGGAATTACTAAAAAAAGGTCACCTGCTGTCAGGGTATCCATTTCGTTGAGGATCCCATTCCTTGAAAAATACTTCTCTAGCACGCTACAAGTCAAGTAAAATCAATGTCATCTTGAATAGAAGACATGAAATTGATGGGAAAAGTAGAAAAACAGATACAAGACAAGTTACCTCATTTCCCCCTTCTTGAAGGGCAGTAACTTCTTGTGCAGTAAATTTGGCCATGGAAACTGATTTTACTCGATGCGTGAACTCTCGACTAGGAAAATAAAGTGATGTATTAGGAAAAAGACTGACATATTTCACTTGGGGACTGGTGGGCCCAATAGTTCACTCCATCAAGGCATATATTGTTAAACAAAAGGAAGGGGAAGCTCGATAGATTGGTCATCTAAACTAAAAGAGGGCTCACTAAAATACTTACTGTGCTCCACTGCAATTGGTACAAACAAAAGTCCAGAAATTTGTGCAGACATACTGTGGTCCCTGTTCAAATCAGCATATCAGTGTTCTTGTTTTTTTTTTTCCTTCAGGCGGAACGGAAGGAGAGGCACTAACAAAATATTACTCTTGTAATATATAAGCAAGATATGTACATAAGATCCTAGAACCAAGACACTTCCAAGTCGACAAGGTAAGCAAATAAATACAAAAGAGGAAACAAAACAAACAAGTTATTCACTTTACAAAGCAAACGGAACATATGAAAGATACTAATGCCCAAAGTTTCGTGAGATACAAGGTAGCAGTACAGTCAAAGGGACACACAATATCCGCTTGAACACTAGGGGAGTAGGGTTACCTCAAGCTTCATAAAGTTCAATGCCTGAAGTGAGGCGTGCACCTCTCACCACACAGGATGACTTAGCCCCAGACAGGAAGGGTAAAAGAAGGAAAAGAGCGGTAGGGTAGTCCTAACTACGTGGATTTAATAGGTTCTTAATAAATCAAATGTAGTTCATGAATAGCGTTAATATTTGACTGCATTGCTAGCCAGCGCCTCTGAGAAAACCACAACACAACTTTCCTAATTAACAGCTTAGGTTCCTGTTAGCTAGGTCCAGAAAAGTGGTGGAAGTGAGACTGAGAATCATAAAGGCTGCCTCTGTTGCAAGCAGTAGCTACAATTACCAACTATATATAAAATTACATTGCAGTAAAACAATAATGTGTGACTACCATAATGACAGAGCTAATTCCAACCCCTTGCATCAAGGCTACATTTCATTCCATTTCTGCACAAATTGAATTACAATTGACCTCTAAACCCACCCAATACAACGCCAACCTCCGGTCAAACACCTAGTTCTGCAGCTACCTCCCAATATGCCATGTGTGCACCATTCGTGGCAACAGAGCATTGTAGCTGACGAAGCCAAACAAGCTAAAAAAAGCTCCTACCTGCCCGCTAGCTCGCTGGCCCCAAAACCCGTCCACATTCAGCAAGAGAATTCGAGAACTCGAGACGACAGACTCACCAAATTGTTGCAGTTGATGCAGCGCTTGTTGGCGGGCAGCTTGAGCAGGCCGCGGATGATCTTCTCGTGCCGCTCGTCCTCCTTGACCCGGCTCGCCATCGCCGCCGGATCGCCCAGCCCGAAACCCTGAAACTCACAGCAGAGCAAGCAAAATCACACCAAAACCCCGCGAAATGGCCCGAGATCCGGGCAAGCCCAAGCCAGATCCGCCCCCGAATCACCGCGACCCAATCGACCCCGCCCGCCCTCACCTGCGGGTGGGTGCGCCCTCCTCGGTGCGCGTGCGCGCGCGCGCGGGGGGCGGGGAGGCGAGCGAGCCCGCGCGAGATCCCGCACGCGCGCGCGTGCGGAGGCCGAGGCGGAGGCGAGACGACGAGGTGGTGGCAGCGGCGAGCGAAAAGGCTCGTCTCTTTTGTTGCTGCTGCGTTGCTTCGCTGCGCGTGTTTAACAGAGTAGAGGGAAAAAAATTCTCCTCGTGGGGTTTGCTGCGGGAGGTGACCGGAGGAACCCAAACCTTGTTGCCGGTCAGCCGCTGGCTGGCACCGGCTGCAGCCGGTCGCCGGGAGGCGGTTTCCAGAGGGAGGGGTTTATGGGGCCCGCGTGGCAGAGACAGTTCGGGTTCGGTTTAGTGGGTGCGCGGTGAGCTGGACGTGGTTTGTTTGGGCGTTTACTGGTTGTTTTGGGTTCGGGCAGTTAGCTGGCTAATGATTACTGGGAAGTGCTAAATCACCGACAGGTGGTGATTACATTATAGGAAAGACTACCTGTGTCTGTGTGGCTTTGGCTTTTTAGTTAGTGGCTAGGCCGTGTAGTGCAGCCATGCACATGAGTTGGGCGCATGTGATTGGTTATCCGAACCGGGTCATCCTACGGCCCATCTTACACCGCTCGGTGCAGTGTGGTCTTATTTAGTTGCCCTGCTTGCATGATTTCACTGCCTCACTTCATTCCTCTCCCCTCCGTCTTCTCGATTTCCACTTCCCTCTCGATGCAGGACGTCTCGATGCTTGGTGGAAAGGGTTTGGGCGAGCGCGGGAGATGACGTCATGTATGCGATAAAAGGGCGCGCGCGGGTCGCGGCTAGGGTTACCGCCCCCATTTCGTGCCTCTCCTTCCTCCATTGCTCTGGTGCGCCCTTTCCTTTTGCTCCCCCTCAATCTCGGTTGACCGCCCGAGTCGACCTCCACCGGTGGATTCGTGGTGGTCCTCCGGTGCAGCGACTGTATACCTCACCTGCGCCTATCTCCTCTTCCTTTCTGTGTGGTGATTTTGTTGATTCGTCTACGGATTTTGTTTGATTTGTGCCATGATATTAGGGTTATTGTTCTTACATTCTCAGATCTGTGAGCTGGTAGTGCAGATCTACTAGTTTCTAGTTGTTCCCCTCTTGTTCCGCGCTCAGATCTGTGTTACAGCTACTTTTTTTCCTTGCACATATGTGGTTTCTTCTACATCTTGCACATGATGCTTTCAATTTATAAACTAAGCATAGTGCCTAGGTCGATGATGTTTATTTTCGTTACCCTAGACGCTGGAGGAGCACCCTTGGTGTGGCAGCCGCGTCTAGTTTAAGATAGTAGGTATGGATGTTTGTTTGCTCCTCGGTACACACCGCAAAGTGCATGATTCGTATCTAATGTTTCCCTCCATCGTGTTGGTAGACATGGACTTCCAACCTAGGCGCAGGGCAGCTGCTGCTGTGGTAGTAGCAGTGGTTGCGTGGTTTTTTATGCGGTTTACGAGATGAGCTGAGGATGCCCATTTAGTGACCTATGGACCCATGGCAGAGAGGGACCAATAGAGGATGAATAACCTGAGATACATTTATGAGTCTGATGATGTTCATTGTGTCAACCTGCTTAGGATGAAGAGGGCACCTTTTTTTCCAACTGTGTGACCTTTTTCGTAGTAGACAATTGGTCACTGACAGCATACATGCATCTGTGGAAGAACAAGTTACAATGTTCTTGCATGTTGTTGGTCACAATGAGAGGTTTAGGGTTGTTGACCTGAATTTTAGGAGATTGGGAGAGACTATTAGTAGGTTTTTTAGAGGGTGTTGTATGCAGTAGGGGAGCTCAGGAATTAATTGATTGTCCCTCCTGCTACCAATGTCCATCCTAGGATCCTTGGGAGCAGAAGATGGTACCCCTATTTCAAGGTTGGTGTCCCATACTTTTCTCATGAGGTCATCATTAATTCACACATGTCTTGGTCCCGACCGCGAGGTCCCTACCCTCCTTTATATAGACAGAGGAGGTAGGGTTACAATGAAGGCCGTTGAGCTCGTGTGACACATTCATTCCCTAGCAACAGATCACTCTTACTTTGTTGATGGCTGGGGATGGATGTGTCACAAGGCTTCATGGCTTTTATGATATTTGCTTCTCTTTGTAACTTTGGTTTGTATGCCACCAAAGTTTTGACTAAAGTACCACACATTCTTTGTAATGAGGCCTATAAAATTGATGACTGTGTTGTTACTTTTGCCTAATACTTCTATGTATTTGGCCAATGATGCAAATTGAAAATTAAACTATGAGGAGGATGCACTTAGTTTTTTCTGTCATCTATGTGGTTCTCATGATTGTCACCAAACCATGGGACACGTCCATTCCTAAGCAACAGCCGAGTCATACTTTGCTGATGGCTAGGATGGACTTGTCCCATGGTTCCATGCCTATCATGATCTTGGTTTCCTACTTTCAGTTTATGTTTGCCTTGCGGCCTCCTATGATTGAGTATCTGGAAATTATTACATCATTTGATTAAGCTCAGGCCTCACTCATGTGATATATGCTGATGATGAATCATCTCATCGGTGAGGCATTGTGGATCATCGATTTGGTCCCATCCAAACCGAAGATCACCAATGCCTCACTCATGTGCTGTTTCTGGTTCTATGACATATTGAGATTACTGGAACTTTGATAATCTTATCATGCTTATGATGATAACAAACCTGCCATGCAACCTGAATACAATAACCTGACGACCTTGAGGTTGTGAGGAACTGGAACTTTTCTCTTATTCTAATTGGTTTCTTATGCTCCAAACTCAAGGTCAATCGAGGACCAAATGTTATCTGAGGCCAATCTGTTTGCCCTTCATTTGAAAACCATCTTATACTCGTTTGTCTTTGTTGTTTGAAACGACAAATGGCTTGGTATGTTGTCTACCGCGGCAGAGAGCCTAGGGTGTATGCAACCTGGGCGACATGCCATGCCTAGGTAACTGGTTTTATAAACTTGTGCTACAAGAGCTCCCCTAGAAAAGAAGAGGCAGTAGTAGAATCCTACATGGAGTTTAAGGGTTGTGAAGTACAAAGTTTTTGTGAAGCCTGCTGCCACTGTCGTTGCCAAACCATCTTGGCTATTTCTTGTTTGCATGGTTTAGTCTTTTCTGTTGGTGGTGCTTGTCTTTTATATTGTTAAATGTGGGAAGAACTGCCTGTGATGATTAACTTATGACCATGTACTCATCAATTTACTTAGACCTTGTGAGGTACTGGGACCCATTTGACGATGACTAATAGCTGTTTGGACTATTGTATTATTTTGTAATATCTCTTATGCTCCAAGGTCTTAGTTGATGATGATAAAAATTAATCTGAGGCAATGTTTATGTTGTCATGCTTGTTCTGATGAAAACGGTGGTAACCTCACCAAAGTGATACATGGGTGCTCACACCTTGTGCCATGCTACAAACCAAACACAAGAAGTAGGACCAGCTCATTCCTAAAATTGGTGCAAGCAGGCAATCAAACAAATTCACTGTCATCTAGTATCACTCCCAAAGTTGCAACCAAACACACCTAGGTGCATGGTTTCAGCCTGTCTCACTCCACCCAGGACTGACCCTCCATCTTGGATCCCCTACCCTGGAGCAACCAATCATGCCCTACATGTATGGGCCAATGTGTGGGAGATGATGGTGTGGTGGGGGTTTTTTTCATCTTTGCCTTCTTACATGTATATACGGGGGGCGTTAAAACAATCATACATGACAAAATATATACTCCTTCCATTCTGAATTACAAACACTTTAATTTTTTGATATATCGAATTTGCTATGTATCTAGACCAACGTTATGTCTAGATACGTAACAAATTCGATTACCAAAAGAGTCAAAACGACGTATAATTTGGAACAGAGGGGGTACATAACAAAAAATGTTTTGTGTTACGATAAAAAACCCTTTAAAACTAAAAAACACTGAATGTTTCAGAGAAAAAAGGGAACAAAAATAATTAACCTTAGGTCAATAATTTTCACTCTATTAATCTGTTGTCTCCGTTCCAAATTATAAGTCGCTTTGACTTTTTTGGTATATATAATTTGCTATGTATCTAGACTTATATTATATCTAGATATATAGCAAAATGGATATACCAGAAAAGTCAAAACAACTTATAATTTAGAATGGATGGAGTAATTCTTAGGCTAGAAAAAGAATAACGATAATAATAGAAATAAAGGAGATAAGGAGATGCCATTAAAGATCGGGTACAAAATCAATTAGCACTAAATCTATAACTTTCACTCAGTCCATCTAATTCTTAGGCCAGAAAGAAGAATCACAATAATAATAGGAACAAAGGAAGATAGCAGTAAGGCTAATCCTAAATAATATAGATATTATTGGAGACCAATTTGGAGGGAGAGCAAATAAACAAAGCATTAGTTATATTTAACTAGCTACTTAGAAGATAGCCGGCCCGACTAGGATACGCGTTTTGGCCGCCGACCCTAAACTAGTGTTTCATCTACCGACGGTAAATTCAGTGTGAGTGTTGAATGCCTCCAACTTCTAAGGCCGTAAAATCACCATTACTTCCACCGCTTGTAGCCGAAGAGTTGTACCCACTGCTCTACATATTTTTTAAGCCCGATGCCCTCTAAAACCACCCCTCTTCTTCATCCATCATCCTATTCTCTTCTAATCTACAAACAAAATGTTAGACATCCCCATCAAGTTTCCAAGCAGTGAGTCATCCAGCGAGGACGACTTGCGAGCCCACCAGTCCTCCGAGGAGGAAATCTCCTCCGACGTCTGGAGGGCTTCTTATTACGGTCCTCCGTGGAGCTTTGAGAAGGA